ACCAATATTGGGGACGTAAACATTGACGTAAATTACTGTCTACCAATTTTCGCTAGCAGCCAGCTCTCACCACATTACTAGTTTTTTTCTTTTTTACGGAGTACGGTTGCTAGCCTCACTCCCAACCTTCCATCTCTATATACCTCATTATCGGCTTACTGAAGTTCAGCGGTGGGTCGGCCAAGGATTGAACCTTGGACCATGTGCATGGCTGGCGAGCGTTCTACCGCTGGATCACCAACGTATATGGGGAAATAATGAGGAGGATTTAATTCATTTGAACCATTGTGAGGGACTTTGGACCATTTTGAGAACTGTCTCGAAGCCACTGATTCTTAAAATGTTCAATGACTGACTGACTGAATGCCTGGTTTCAATATAGAACTTTGCACATATGTGCAGCAGTTCCAGTTGCCACACTCGACACCCCATGTAGCACACAAACCAAAAGAAGACAGTAAAGAGAGATTCAAAAGAGAGAGATAATAAACACAAATGTGAGGCAAAAAGAATAGTAATATGGAAAAACAGCAGAGTTTTATTGGATATGACTAGCAAATCACAAAGAGTCAGGCATATCACCAATTGTTTCCAGCCTTCATTGATTCTTACCATCATTCCAGTCTACACCTCCCTACGTGGTTGGCTGGCTTAAACTAACTGTTATGGATTTTCGAATCAGCTGAATGACCTTACTCCAGGTGATGAGGACACAAAGAGCTAATTCGAATCTAAGCTGGTTGACGTTACAAATCAATGCCACATTTCACCAGAGTCATATTTCAAAATCCTCTCTGAAGAGCGTCAAAAAGCATTGAAAGCTCTCAGAAATAATGTTGTGGATTTTATTGACTGATGAAGCCATGGTTTCGTTTGATCACCTCATACTATTTTCCAACCTAGTCCTATTGTAACGACAGAAGGAAAGAGTCAAGCAACAGATCATTTATTAAGGAAATCAACGCATATTTATATATGTTTTCATGTACATTACTATGGATATTTAAGTAAACAAACACAGTCTTCCGATTGGTTGTTTCTCACGTAAAGTTAATCTTTCATCTATTTGTGACTTTCTTGAATGTCAAATCCTCTATATGTTAACTGCATCCACCTACGCAAAGTGTGCTGTGGTCGGTTTTGAATCAGTCTTGTTCACATTTTCTCACGACAAATCTTGGGAACGTAAATATTGACGTAAATTACTGTCTACCAATTTGGCTAGTAGACAGCTCTCACCACACTATATCACCTATCATTGCCCATCGAGGACAGTGATGGCTAGGGATGCATGCATAACACATGTCCTAACCATCTCAATCGATGTGGTTGCTTCACAATCTCGTCGATTGATTTTCCATTCTCATACCTAACACTACACTTAAATCCATTGTTATTACGCCACTTAACAAGCGAGTTAAAACGCAAGACAAATTCATCTTATGTTAGTTAATCAATAGATATAACCGTTATCTAGTCCAGTTTTCACACATTTTAGCATTTACATGCATGTATAGGATGCAAAAAAATAGACAGAGAAACAGATTAACAACAGATTGTACACCGCATACAACTGCGTCACTTCATTACTGACACATAAATCTTAATAGTACACACACAAAACTAAATCAACACAATACCTACATGAATATTTAGAATTACAAAGATGATGAGGATGACATGTGTACATATACATATACGTATGGTGAGAGCTATCTGCTAGCCAAAATTGGTAGACAGTAATTGACGTCAATGTTTACTTCCCAAATCTTCGTCATGAGAAAAGACAAGAACTAGCGTAACCTTGATGAACTCACCAACCAATCACACAGGACTTAGCATGGGCAGATACGAATAGTAGATATATCAACGGACTGTCTAAGAAACGGCCACAAAGATATGATAGAATAACCTTCAGCAGGAAAACAACCAATCAGAAGACGATGCTTCTCTACTAACAATAACGCTAATAATAATGTACATAAAAATCGATAAATATCTGTTGATTTTCTCAATAACTGATCTGTTGCCTGGCCCTTGTCTTCTGTCGCTACACTAGTACTTCACATATTGATAACTTAAAGTGAACCCTTTGTTAAACTCATTTAAATATGATCAACCATTCCTTTTTCTTGTACAGAACAAATGCCACAATTAGTCAATAGGTGCATTACTATATGACTTGCTTTATTTCTTAAATGCTACTCTTCCTGAGGTCTCACTTGACATGTACAACACTACAAAACTGCTTATGTTAAACACTCCACAACCTGCAAATGCTTCACGTATATCTCAGATGTAGATAAAAATAGAGAGGAATCCTGTACGATATACTTGCCCTCTGTCTGTCTGTCTGTCTGGATTCAACATAGAACTTGGCACCGAAGTGCAGCAGTTCGAGTTGCCACGTTCCAAATAGCACACAAAGGTAGACAAGAAAATGAGCGATGAAGAGAATCAATAGAGTTTTGACAAGTATAAGAGTGAAACAGAATGAGTAATGGTAGAAAGGAATATGAAAGATTACAGAGACTGAATACATCTGCGTAAGCCATTGACAACGATTTTGAGCCATGTCACCTATTGTCTCCAGCCAGTGATTCTTAGAGTCCCGAGGGCGGGGCCCCAACCCGGAAGTCTGCATCTCCCTCCCTACCTGACTCAGTTTAACTGTCAAGGATTTCATGGATTGATGAGGCCATGTTTTTGTTTGGCCACCACTTACTCTTTTCCAACCTGCACCTATATCAGCTAGTAATGCCCGTCGGGGGAGACGATGGTTAGGCATGCGCAGCACGTGGCCTAACCATCTCAATCTATGTAACTTCATAGCCTCTTCGAGTGATTTTCCCTCTTTGCCCAACACTCTACGCCTAACGTCAACATTACTTACCTTATTATACCACCTAACGCGAGAGAGAGATCGTAAACATCTGTGGTCAAAAACAGACAATCTCTTCATGTCTTCCGCTCTCAATGGCCACGTCTCACCGCCATAGAGAAGGACGGAGCGAACTGATGAGCAGTATACACGTCCCTTGGTTGACAGCCGGATGTCATGCCTACGCCAGAGACGGTGTAAGTTAGCGAAAGCAGCCCGAGCTTTCTGGATCCGTGCTGAGATTTCGTCACCAATCAATCCGTTGGTGCTGATACAACTTCCTAAATAGGTGAAGTGGTCAACATATATACTTGCCCACATAACGCTTTAATCGTAAACATGACTTTCTTTATAAATACTAAGATTTGAATGATTAATTCGCTTACTAAAAATGATGTGAACATTTGAGACAATAAACAATAAACAAGTGTAGTTTTAAAGGTAACGACGGTCTCCCCTCGAAAATTCTCTAATACTAATGAATACATTCATATTTCTCTATCCAAAGGAAGGATTGGACTCAACCGACTGAGAGGTGCTATGGTAATATCTTGTCATCAAAGGGGGGGGGGGGTACCAAGAAGGCATTCTACTTGAACTCATGCAGTCATGAAGTGATGACAGCTACTGGTGTCCATCATTTTGATTTGAATTCATCGTAGATGTACTACTGAATATGACACTAATCGCTTTTAGCGACTTTAGGATTCACTTGTAATCGAAGAAGAGTTTCGCTGACTTGTGGAGCATGCGGATAATATTTTCCTCTTAGGTGAAAGTGGCCGACAAAATACAGAGTCTTCTGGACATTTTGAGCAGAAATTCTCGAATGTTTGATATGTCATTCGCCCCGGTCAAATGTAAAATAATTCTGCAGGATTGAAATGCCCAGACTCTTAGCTTAAAGATAGGGGAGTAGAGTCACTGAGTATGTTGACCAGTTGCATCCACCCCAATGGATTGATGACTGATGAAATCTCAACACGCATACAAAAGGCTCATCTGGTATTCACCAAAGCACGTCATCTCTGATGTATACGTGATATCCGACTGACTATCAATTAAAAGATATGTGTACTGAGCGGCAATTCGTACTGTCCCTTTTTATGACTGTGAAACACGACCGTTGAAAGTGGAAAATATGAAGAGACTAGCTGTCTTTCATAACAGATGTTTACGTTATATATCTCGGGTTAGTTAAGTAGTATAATATGGTGAGTAAAATTAAAGTCAGGAGTAGAGTGTTTGACAAAGAGTGCAAGCCAATCGATCAGACTGTGAAGCTGCATCGAATGAGATGGCTACAGCATGTGTTACGCATGTTAGGACACCACCTTAGGTTTTACAAAAGTTGAGGGTGGTCAAACTGACACACTCAAGCAAACATGAAGACTTTAGCAGTTGGTTTAAGGCATGTGGGTGGGTATGGATTGCTTGGTTGGGATTCTCGGGGTTCTAAAACCTGATGGTTGGAGACAACTGGTATTATGGATGGAAACATTTTTCCAAGATCCATTAAGTCCTCTTGCCTTTTCCTATGTTATTATTCTTTCT